GAATTTCCTGTAGTTTGGCTGAGAAAATAAGACCGAGGCACAATAGGTAGAAACAAGAGTGTAAAGAACACGGGTGAACTAAAAGGCAGATAGGTGGCAAAATGAATAGAACATTGGATATGCAATGAAGAAATGAGTTGCGATTTACCTTAGACATTAGCCATGTGATCATGGGCAAGTCACTTAAGCCTTCTGTGCTACAGTTTACTCACCTGTAAAATAAGGGTAATAGTAGCACCTACTTTCCAGAGTTGTTGTGAGAATAAAATAAGATAATATTTATAAAGCACTGTACAGGACATTCCAAAGTTCTTGGTGGAGTTTTAAGCTATGTAATCTTTTAAGATATAAAAAGATATTTTAAAGATATTTTAAGATATCTTAAAGATTAAAAGATTAAAGATATCTTAAAAAGATTTAATAGCTTAAAACTGAATTAAGACTTTTGAAACATTGGGACATCCTGTATAAATATCATTTATTGTTATTATTATTTAAAATTTTTTAATTTTTTTTTCCAATTATATGTAAGAACAACTTTTAAAATTCTTTTTTCTTAATTTTGATTTCCAAATTCTCCCTCCCTCCCCTCTCCCTTCCTTAAGAAGACTATCAATTTAATATGGATTATACATGCATAGTCATGCAAATCATATTTCCATATTAGCTATGTTGCAAAAGAAGATAGACAAAAAAAATCAAGGAAAATAAAGTGAAAAAAAAGTATGCTTCAATCTGCATTCAGACTTCATCAGTTCTTTCTCTGGAGGTGGATAGCATTTTGTTATCTTAACTCCTTCATAATTGTTTTAGACCATTGTATTTCTGAGAGTAGCTAAGTCATTCACAGTTGATCATCCTATAATGTTGCTGTTACTGTGTACAATGTTCTCCTGGTTCTGCTCACTTCGTTTTGTATTAGTTTGTGTAAGTCTTTCCAGGTTTTTCTGAGAGCATCCTGCTTGTCATCTCTTATATATGATAGTATTCCATCATGATCATATACTACAACTTGGTCAGCCTTTCCCCAATTGAAGAGCATCCCCTCAATTTACAATTCTTTGTCATCGCAAAAAGACTTGGCTAGCTATTATTATTAAAAGGCTCTATATGACTTGTGCTTAAAAAAAATCTTGGATTTTTCCCTTTCCATTTGAATCCAAAGAAATTTCCTTTTGGATACAAGGAGAGGAAGAAGTGAGTCAGGAGAGCTTGAGAGAGGACTCAGAGGGCTGGAGAGACAAGAGAAGTGAAAAAGCAAGGGGGGTGGAGTGGGTATGGTGCTTAGTACTATGTGTCGCTGTCACTACTCTAACCAGGGCTGAGCTCCCACCACTAGCCCTGGTTGGTTCACTAAGTAGATTCTGTCCTCTAGGCCAGGGGTCCTTAACCTTTTTTTCTTTTTTTCATCGTAGATCCCTTTGGTAATTTAGTGAAGTCTGTGTATCCCTTCTCAGAATTTTGTTTTTAAATGCATAAAATAAAAGGTAGCTAAGTGGTTCAGTGGGTAGAGCAGAAAGAGCTGAGTTCAAATGCAGCCTCAGACACAAAGTGAGTGACCCTGGGCAAATCACTTAACCTTTGTGCCTCAATTTCAAAATAATAATAATAATAATAATAATAATAAACAATCATAATAACGCCTTCCTTTCAGGGTTGTTGTGAGGATCAAATGAGATGACAGCACTTAGCACAATGCCTGGCACATTTAATAGACCCTTATTTCCTCCCTAAAAGATAATAGGATTACAAAAGGAAACCAATAACCCAGAAATAAAGATGTCATTATTTTTCCTATCCAAGTTCAGGGACCCCATGAAATTTATCCACATATCCCCTGAGGGTCTGTGGACTCCGGGTTAAGAACTCTTGCTTCTTGTCTCCCATCATATATTATGGATGAGGCAATGTATAAAGTGTATTGGACTTGTAACCTGGAGTCATTTATGTTCTCTGCCTGTGGGTTTCATGATCTGTATGGGGCTAATAATGTTACTTCACAAGATTATTTCGAGGTTGTTGTTGTTCAGTCGTGTCTAACTCTTTGTGTCCCACTTGGGGTTTTCTTGGCAAAGATACTGGAGGGCTTTGCCATTTCCTTCTCCAGCTCATTTTATAGATGAAGAAACTGAGGCAAACAGGATAAAGTGACTTGTCCAGGGCCACACAGCTAGGAAGTGTCTGAGGCTGGATTTGTTAGGAAGATGAGTCTTCCTGATTCCCAGCCCAATGCTCTAGGAAAAAAGTTTCAAATATTATAAGAATGCATGGTTTTATTGAAGTCCCTTTCCCTCAGAAGGTCTCCAGTGCTAGATTCTCTCATTCTTTGGCCTTGGGAGGAGAAATTATTATTTTTTCCATCTGTAGAGAGATAAGATTAGAATAATGACCCTGGAACTCATCCCTAGCAGGAGGTTACTGTGACTCTGAAGGGGGTGATGTCCCCTTGATGCAGCGGCATATGACTTGATGCAGTGGCAAGGTCTCCAAGAGCAGCATATGCCTGCCTGTTGGGCACTTCCTGGAAAGGGATAGGAGGGCAGCTCATTGTTCTCCCCTACAGCCAGATGGAAGAATTCTCCACCTGCCTCTCTAGGTAGGGAGGGAGTCTGCAATTCCAAGGTCATTTGGGTTCCAAGTAGCTCCATTCAGGAATATGGTAAGCTCAGACGCCCCCTTGTGGTTCTGAGTGGAATGGTTCTAGCTGACTGTGGGGGAGAGGCAATGATGGGGAGGAAATGGGGTGTGTGTGTGTGTGTGTGTGTGTGTGTGTGTGTGTGTGTTCCTCCGTCCATGTGTCCATTTGAGGTGAGTAGTGCTTAAGGAAATGTTGTTTATATTTTCTTATCAATAAAATGAGGGCTTTGAACTAGATCATCTCCAGGGTCCTTTCAGTTCTGATGCCTTATGATTCCTATGTATTAGGATTCTTTGACTTGTCTCAGGGGATAGAGCACACTGGTCCTGGAATCAGGATGACCAGAGTTCAAATCCAGCTTCAGACACTTACTAGCTCTGTGACCCAGGGCAAGTCACAAACCTCTATCTGCTACAGTTTCCTCAATTGCAAAATGGAGATAAAAATAGTGCCTACTTTCCAGGGTTGTCGTGAGGACAAAAAAAGATAATATTTGTAAAGAGCTTTGCAAACCTTAAAGTGATGTATAAAGCTAGCTATTATCATTACTACTACTATTATTATTATTAAGTGACTTTTCTATTCTTGATCTGAGGGCACATGCTAAGGGTTGGGAAAGAACTTGAAACTTATCATATGAGTTCATCCTCCTTGGGTTGTTTAAGAGTTGGGAGTAGGGAGGAGACAGGGAGAAAAAATGGTCCATAACACAGCTGAAGACCAGCATTTGATACTCTGACCCACTTCTAGATACAGTTTACCCACAATAACATTCTGTTTCCTTTAGTCTTAGATCTAGATAGAAAATGCTGCATACCCATGGGTGGAATTGCTTTGGGGTAATAGCCTAACTTCACCATAAAACAATCGCTCGAGTTTAGTTTTCCTTTTGCACAAGCAAATGCCATTTGCAGCAGAGGGTCTGAGATCCAAAGGACTTTGTCTGCCTCAATGGAGAAAACTGTTCTAGGAAGGCTTGCTGGATTGGCAGTCACAGTACCTGGGCTTGACTCCTAGCTTCATCACTTACTACTTTTGTAACAATTCTCAAGTCAGACAGCCTCTTTATGTCTTACTCTTCTCCCCTATAAAATGAAGGGATGGAATGGGATGATAAAAGGAGACCCTTTTCCTTCTAAAGCCTATGACCTTGCATGTTTACTTCCAGAGTAACCTGTAGCTGTTAGCTCTTTCCAATGATTTCCCTATCATATGCCTGTGCAGGTTCTACCCAATCTCCCATGGGGACATTGGGTTTTCCTAAACTACCTTAAATCTCTGGATAGAATCTGGATTCTGTTCAGGAAGGTGGGGGCTTTTTTTTTTTTATAGAACCATAATTTCAAATATCACCTACTTTTTCCTTCCCTTCTTCCCTACCCACATTTTACCTTAATCCTCCACCCCTTGCCCTCTGCCTCCAATCCTCCAGGTAGCATATAGAAGTGATTTTCTCTAACATAGATATTGCCCTAAGGGAATTTCTACTGGTCAAAGGTAGTACATCTGTTCTAGGAAGGGGTTGAGGTAGGAAATAAGTCCTTTCTATTGGTGTTCAGTGTGAATATCTCTCTTTGTAGGTGTGTGTGTGTGTGTGTATGTGTGACATATTCCCAATACATACACATATATAAATAAATATATAACATATTTTTATATTTTATATATTCATATATTATTATATATTATATTCACATATATTTTATATATTCATATATTCTTGTCTTGGACAGTAGAGGTCCAGGAAATAATTTAAGTAACTTAAAAAAAAACCTTTAATAACTATCTCTTTGTGGAAGGGTGGTATCTGTGTAGGTGGGCCTACATGTGCATTTGTGGTAAGTCTGGGTTCAAATCCTGACTATCCCTTGTGACAGAAGTGACAAGTCAATTCCCATCTTTGAGTCTCAGTCTCCTCATTGATAAACTGAGTAGATTGGGTTAAATTCTCTACAAGGCCCCTTCTATGACTCTAGTGCTGTTACTCAACTCTTGACATTACTTCAGGCAAGCTATTTCCCATCTCTGGGCTTCAGTTTCCTCTTCTTCAAAATGGCATGAGAAATTCTCTAAGTTCCCTTCCAGGCCAGCGTTCTATGGTTTTATTTGGTAATGTTTGGGTATGTATGTTTTTCTAGACTGCTTTCATCGCTGAAGTTGACTTTTGCGTCTACTTGTTTCCACAAGTCAGACACTGTATGTCTGTAAATCAGCATGAGAGGCAGTCTGCATCCGTCCCCTGGTTTCTGTGTAGTTTTGAGTCTCTCAGTTTCTGTCTCTGCATCCCAAACGACGTATGGGCTGGTGCTTAGTACAGCTGAATCTTCTTTCATGCTCTTTTTCTTTCTAAGCTGAGAATACAGGAAGCTAAAGTGTGAAACCCAAGTCATCGAAAATACCGCACGGCCTGTCGTCATCAAGATAGACCAGTGAAAGGCCGGGGACTCCAGGCAGAGAGGAAACAAATTTGAGAGAAAAGGGGGAACCAGAAGGAGAGTCCAGAAAGGATTGTAATAAAAGAATTAAGCAGCAGGCAGGGATATCGAGATGGTTGAGAGATGAGTGAAGTGATAGTAAAGCAAGGCTTCCTGTACTTTCAGCAGCAGCAGACTTTTGGGAAGGTAAGGAGCCTGGGAGTGGTCTGGGCTAAGGGCTGCTACAAGAGGAGCCTCCCTGGGAGCTCCAGACCGCATGTGGATGTCCTAAGCATCCTGAGTACTATCCCCAGGGCTCTCTGTAGACAGATTCTAGCTTCCTGAATGAAGCTTCTAGGGAGGTGGTCACCTTCTTTTCCCCAAGTCCTTGGTCCCAGTTTGTTCTCTTTGTTGTGATGTAAGAATTCCTACTGTTCTAGGGGAGAGAAAGTGGGCAAATTGAGGTGTCCATTGTTCTCTTTGTAGTACCTTCTATTACTGGAGGGTGGGAGAACGGGCAGTGGGGGTGGGGAGGTGGGGGGGTGATTGGGATTGGGGGTGACTTCTCTCCCAGCAACCCAAATAGTCTCACTTGGGGGCAATTTGGGTTTTTTGGTGCTGCACAGTCCCATATTCCTTGGAGAGAAGTTTCTATCCTGACCCTTATATTGATGTCCAGAAACTTCTTTTTCAATGATTATTGGGGAAAAGAAAACAGAAAAGAGGTCAGGGAGAATTGAGGGAAGTTCCCTGAACCTGGGTCCTTTTGGGAAAATCTACCCAGGACCGGAGGGCTCAACTCTAGGCTCTCCCTCTGTTTTTCTCATTCCTTCTTTGGAGTTTGGGACCTGAATGGTTCTATAGTTTGATCTGATTTTTTGCCTTGGTTCTAGTATCTCTCTGTCTCTGAGCCATGATCTATTTGTGTTGATTTTCTTCCAATTTGTGTCTGAATATTTTTCATTTGACTGCCTTCCTCAATTTTGGGCAATCTTTCTCAAGCCAACTTAGCTTGCTCCAGTTGGTCTTGGTTTCAGCCAGCTAATCTCTGTGAGTGTCTAATTCTCACACTCTCTGTTATTCTACCTCTTTAACTGTCAGTGGCAGCAGTGGCTACTGTGGGGTTCTTACTGCCCCTGCCTCTTTCTGAAAATTGCCCTTTGCTCTTTCTTAGTCACAGTGTCACCATCTCTGGCTTGCTTCCATGGCTCTGTTTTCCCATGAGTCAGTAGCTGTCTCTCCAGGTGTCCTACATCACCTCTCTATCTTTGTCTCACCCTGACCTCAGAAGTGGCGGCGGTTCTGGGCTGTGCTGTATGGAGAGTCCAGCTGCTCCTTGGCCCGGCTGGAGCTTCAGGAGGGCCCGGAGAAACCCCGCCGGGGGGAGGCTGCTCGGCGAGTCATCCGACTCAGTGACTGTTTGCGGGCAGCTGAGGCTGGAGGGGAGACTGGCAGCCCTAAGGATACCAGTCCCTTTCTGTTGGAGACCACTGAGCGGTTATGCCTTCTAGCTGCCCCCACCCTTGAGCGCAGTGAATGGCTCCAAGCCATTTGTCACCTGGCTTTTCCGGTGAGGAGCCAAGAGGTTGGATCCTGAGTGGGTTGGGGTAGGAGCTATAGGAGGGGAATTGCTAGAGACTTCCTGGTGGTAATGTCCCACCAAAGGACATTGGGGTTGAAAAGACAGGACTAGGGTGCCCTGGGAGGTAGCAGATTAAATTGAAACACTCCAAGAGATTAGAGGGATAGCTAGTATGGAGAAGGGCAGATTTGGGTGTGGAGAAATGGGCTTTCCAAGTGCTCCCTGGACACAGGTAGGAGACATTGGGATTATTTGGGGGATTGGGACGAGGGTGAAGTGGCTCTTGGTGGAATTTTGCCCCTTTTCTGCAGTTGCAGAGAATAGAGCGGAGGGAGCCAGTAGGGCAGGAAGACTCAACTGCAAAGCATCATGAATTGCCGTGCATGGAAGAAAATGTCCTGTATAGCAGTGCGCCCTCAGGTGAGAGGGAGCTGACCAGATTCCCCCCTGAATTAGTTCTGACTGCTCCAATGCTCTCTGACTGTGAGTGCTGCACGGGTCAAAGGATTGGGGGGAAGGGAGTGGCAGGGCCCCATCCATGGCCCACTTGCTTCCTGCCTTGTGGTTTGGGCTTGGCCCTCTGCTTGGCCTCTCTCTCACCCCCCCAACTTATCTTCAGCTCACCATCACATCCGGGCGTGCTCCAGAGGAGGGGTGGGGGTGGGGACCAGAGGTGTGGACAGCAAGATCAGTCCGAGGTACAGTCCCCTTCACCTTGACCCAGTCCCTTCCCACTTGGTTCCGATAATTTCAGGGTGGTCAGAATACCAAGATGCCCAAGTGAGGGTGGCAGGGTCATTCTGAAACCGTCATTTTCCTGATTTGTTTTTTTCTGGATTGTTTATACTCCTGAAGTATCTGATGGTAGACCAAATCCTCTTTCTTCTCTCCTTTTCCCCAGTTCACACACCCTTTCTCACCCAGTAAATGAGGGCAGTTGGAAGTAAAGAGGTCAAAGTGAAGACCCCTCCCCCACCTTCCCCATTTCAATCTTTCCCCAGGTAGGCACCAGTATCTATGATGAGTGGAAGCTAGGACAAAGGTTTCACTTGCAGCTGGGCCCCATGGATGGGAGTTGGAAGACTTGAAACCACTGGGGGTTCTGGCAGTAGCAGCAGCTGCAGGAAGGATGTGGGCTTGATGCTTGGAGTGGATGTGGCTGGGGCTTAATGCCTGCTAGGGTGAACGTGTCAGGTTGAAAAGAGGGACTCTTTTCTGGAAGATTTGGGGAGTGTGGAATCATTCAGAGAGATTCTTCTTTCAGGATAGTTGGAGAAAGAATGTTGCTCTGTGGACCTTCTGTACCACTCAGAGCCAAGATGATTATGGCCAGTTTCTTCCAAATAGCCTCTTTTTTCATAAAATTTTAAAATATCTTTTGTTTTTACATCACCTTTGTCTTTAGAAAATTTTATTGCTGTCTTCTGTTTTTATTTCATCTGTATTTCTCAATATATATCTTCCCTTCCTAGGGAGTCATCCCTTATAACAAAGAACAAAAGAAGAGGAAAAACAAATAAAAAAAGCAATTCAGCAAAACTAACCAACACATCCACCGAATCTGAGATTACATAGTCCCCCTTTCCTCTGCACGTCTGTCATATCTCTTCTCTGGGGCTAAGCATGGTTAGTGTAACTTTGCAGCATTCCCACAATTACCTCTTTCCCCTCCATAGTGACCCCGAAGAAGGATTTTGTCGTGACTGTAAGACCCACAGAAGCAAGTGACCGGTGCCGGCTTCAGGGGTCTTATAAACTTCGGGCAGGAGAGAGTGCCCTAGAGCTACGGAGTGGCGCTGAACCAGGCATTGTACTGTATACTTGGCCCTATAGATTCCTTCGACGATTTGGGAGGGATAAGGTAATAGAAGACTCTGTGTGTGTGTGTGTGTGTGTGTGTGTGTGTGTGTGTGTTCATGAAGGGAGATGGGACATGATGAAAAAGTTCTGGGGAAAAAGGAGGTGAGGTGGGAGAAGAAAGGTGATTGAGGGTTAGAGAAAATATAAGGAAGAGGAGGATTAGAGAAATGGGAGGGATGGGCAAGGATGTGAGGGAAGTCAAAATGTGATGAAGAAGGAAAAAATGGGTAGAGGAAAAAGAAGCAGGAAATGAGATAGTAGAGTGTGAAGAGTAGAATGAATAAGAAAGAGAGCAGGAGTGTGAAAATAAAGTGGCAGACACAGGAGAAAGGAACTAGGGAAGGAGGATGAGGAAGAGAAAGTGATAGGAAGGAGAGGTAGAAAGTTAGGATTGATAGAGAAGGTAAAGGGAGAGAGAATTGGAAAGAAGAAAGTCTTTGGCTATTAGAGAAGAATGAGGGCATAAATACTAGGGGCATGGGCAGAGCTGTAACTGGTAATTTTTGTCCAGGGGCAACTACTAGAGAACACTTGGGGCAAGCAGCATCCTAAGTGAAGGATGGGACCAGGACACTGCCTGGTGTGGGGAAGACAGAGACCTCAGACCCTTGTGTGAAGCCATTCTAGGCAAGGTTGCAAAGTAGATGAGGGCAGGAGCTCATCCTGGTCCATCTGGCAGCCTTCTCTTTTAATGAGCTATTTTATTCTTGCTAACCATTTCCTAAACTCTGTTGTTTCTACACCTCTCTAAATTTCTCCTCCCAAGCTGGGAAAAAAAAAAACGCCTTGTTTAATTTACTCTAGTTACTGCCCTGGGCACGCAAAACAAAAAGAGAAAAAATCTTGTAGGGAGATGGGAAAAGGTGGATTGGAGAGGCAGGCCAGTAACAGTCCTCTTGCTCCCACCTCAACATCTAGGTCACGTTTTCCTTTGAGGCAGGCCGGCGCTGTGTCTCAGGAGAAGGGAACTTCGAGTTTGAAACCCGAAAAGGCAATGAGATCTTTCTGGCTCTGGAGGATGCTATTTCTGCCCAGAAGAACTCTGCCTCTTTTGGAGCCTCTTCTCAACCAACTGTAGTAACATCATCCTTACCACTACTTGAAAACCCATATTCCCGGCCTCATGACTCCCTCCCCCCACCCTCCCCAACCATTCCTCCTTTTTCCCGTTATCCCAGAGCCCCAGAGGGTGAGTATGCTGTACCCTTTGATTCAGTGGCTAGGTCCCTGTTGGGGAATAGCCCCAGAGAAGCACTGCCTACCCCTACCCGTCCCTCAGTGGACCCGCTCTATGACTGCATTGAGGAGCGGCTGTCACATCACCCGGATCACATTTATGATGAACCGGAGGGAGTGGCTGCCTTATCCCTGTATGACAGCCCCCAGGAACCCCAGGGGGAGGCCTGGAGGACACAGGCCACAGCTGATGATGGTCCCACACGATCCTGTCAAGGTGTACTGGGTGACTTCTTGGGGGCTGCCCTGCCTGGCTGGTCTGAGGGAGCTGAGTATGACAATGTGGTCCTCAAAAGGAGCTCAAAGTGATGGCCAAGATGGAGAATTCAATGAGTCCAGCCCTCAGGATGGTCATAGGCCTTGATTATGGTACCAGCAGTAACCCTGAGGGGTAGGAAAGGGGGAAGAAGGGGTTGAACCAGCTCTTTCTCTCCCAGTCTTCTCTTGTGGCTCCTTGCCACACGAAGACCCTCCTCCCATCCTAGGAGAAGAGAAAATTCCTCTTTAGGCTCTTTCCACCCAGTGTTTGCAGGATGAGTCAATATCCTGAAGCAAGAAGGGTGCCGTGGATAGAGCCACACCCATTCACCCTCTTCCTCCTCCTCTTTCTCTTTCCTCCCCGCTAGGAACTGTTACCCTAAAGCAGAACTCTACCCTTATCTCTTAGTTTGTACCCACTTCCTGCAAGCTAAGGGGACCCTCCTGCATTGTAGGAGTCTCACAGGCAACCCCTTTCTTGGTATTGAGGAAGATGGCTACAGTTTTCTGTGAGTCTTGGACATTTCTCTGGTATTAAAACCCATCTCTGAAATGTCTACGTGTGGCATGAGTACTGTGGGGAAGGTAAGAGGTGTGGTTCTGTCAAGGGAAGTATTTTCTGCTGAGAGCTCTCTCTCCCACCAAGGTTCTCCCTAGGATAGGAAGCATGGTTAGTGCTCTGCTGACCTTGGCATCAGAGGACCTGGGTTCAAATTCTGTCTCTGATGCTTCCTACTGTCTGTGTGACCTTGGTCAAGTCATTTGACCTTCTTGGGCCTCGGTTTCCTCAAATGTAAAATAAAATGGTTAGATTAGATGTCCCCCCCAGCTCTAGATCTCTGATCCATATGATTCCTTAAGTCTTCTGTGAATGACTCAACATCCTTCCAAAGAGCCCAGTGTTCTAGAAGGCCACAGAATTGGAATAATAGGAAAGGGTTTAAATGTTCCTGTCTCTCTGCAGACGTCAGAGTTGGTCCTAGGCAGAATGTTGTGTAGTGCAGAGTTTCTTAGCCCTTTTCATGTCATGGACCCTTTTGGCAGTCTGGTGAAGCCTATGAACCTTTTCTCAGAATCATATTTTTAAATAATTTAAAGAAATGCTAAATTTCAATTAGAAGTTAGTAAAAATGAAGTATTTTCCCCCTCTCATCCAAGTTAATGGACACCCCTGAAATGGATCTAGAATCTATGGATGCCAAATTAAGAATCCATGGTGCAGCAGAAAGAACACTGGGTTGACACTTAGGAGACCTGGGTTCTTGTTCTATATCTGCTGCTGCCTTGAAGTATGAACTCTAATAAGCCTCCTTCCCTCTCTGGGTCTCAGTTTCCTCATCTGTTAAAAATAGGGGTGATGGATAATATGATCTCTAAGATCTCTTCCAACTCTAACATATTATGATTCTAATATTATGAAAAGATTTGATTGAAGTCATTAGGTCCTTTCTCTGAGGGACAGTAGCATTTTAATTCTCATCTCTAACAGTGCTGTTAAAGGAATTTCAGATATTAGCTCAACAGGTAAGGATCGTGGCTTTCCCCAAACCCCTGAAACATACCAGTAGGCAACTGTTTATTTTGCCCATGCATAAGCCAATCCTGGCTGACACTCTCCAGGTCTAGTTTGGTACGTTCTCCTTCTGCTTACACACCTGCCACTTTAGTGTAGACTCTCATCACTTCTCCCTTAGATGATCACAACAGGCTTCTAATTGGTCTCCCTGAAGTCTTTCCCTACTCCAATCTATCTTCTACCCAGCTGCCAAAGTGATTTCCTTAAAGTACAAGTCAGACCATGCCACCTTCCCCTCCAATTCGATAAACCCCAGGGTTCTCTATTACTTCTAGGAAGATATATCCTTCTGCTACTGAAATCTCTTCACAACCTGGTCTCTTCCTATCTTTCTAGTTTTTGTATACATTACTCCCCTCCATGCTCTCTGTGGTCTGACCGTATTGGGCCACTTGCTGTTCCTCACACAAAATATTCCATTTCCCGTGCCTTTCACTGGCTGTCTCTCCCTGCACCCCTTCTCCCCCCATCCCCACAATGTTCTCTCTTTTCATCTTTGGCTCTTTCAAGATTCTCCTCAAGAAAGAGGTCCTGAAAAGCTTTTCCAGTCTCCCCACTGACAGTTCCCTCCCCTCAAAGGTTATTTCTTAGGTACCCTGTATGCATCTGTTTATGTACATGTTATGTTTCCCATTAGAATCTAAGTTTCTTGAGGGCAGGGTCCATTTTTACTTTTTTCTTTGTATCTCCAGTGTTTGGCACAGTATCCGTTACCTAGTAAGCTCTTAACGAATACTTGTTGATTGAGAGGAAGCAGGTGGGTTTGTGCTTTGCCCTGTCCCTTTGTCTCAAGTCTGGAACCCTTTCTCTTTTTTCTGGGTTCTTCCTTCTGGATTCCAGTCGAAGATGTCATCCTAGGGATTTCCACTGGACAGTAGTCCAGGTGGTAGTCCCACTGAAGTCCAGAAGAGGCCAGTGTTGGATCATGGTAGATGCTGCTAGGGGCTCAACAGCTGCTTGGGAATTTGGTCCAGGGGAAAAAAAAACAACAACAAAAACAGCCATCACAACTTCGTGAACATGCATTCAGGAGCTGGCTACTGCAGATCCATAAAAGCAGATCTAAAGGCCTGGGGATTCTGCCTCTGAGCTGCTGCCTGACCTTTCTTACCTCATCACCTACCCCTACTCCTGGTGTGTGCGTGTGCGTGTGTGTGTGTGTGTGTGTGTGTGTGTGTGTGTGTGTGAACTTAATTTATGAGTTCCTCCTCTCTCTGTGTCTTGGTTTTCCTTTCCTTTCTGTTTCAAACGGGGGGGGGGCAGGAGATGTCAGGGGGAGAAGTAGGTACAAAGAGGTAGAGGGTAGTAGAGTGGGGAAACTGGGAGAATCAATAGAATAATGGGACATCATTATTACGGAATGCTTGCACCATGCTCTCCTGTCCTGGTTCAGTGCCTTTGTCTTGGGTCCTAACCTTGTATTATGGTGCAGTGTCCCAATGTTAAACCCTCATACTCTGTTCTTTTATATTGTATCCTGGTCAGCTGGTACAATGAATAAAGCAAGAGACCTTGGAGTCCTTGGCCTCGAGTTCAAATCCTGTCTCCTGACTTTTACTAGCTGTGTGACCCTGGATGAGTCCTTTAACCTCTGTTTGTCTCAGTTTCCTCATCTGTGAAATGGGGATAATAATAGCACCTACTGCTCCAGGGTTGTTGCCAGGGTAAAATAAGGTGACACTTATAAAGTGTTCTGCAAACTTTAAAATACTATATGAATGCTATTATAGTCCGGTGCTCTGTCTCAGGAGTGTACTTTTATTTGGAGTCTGCTGCTGTATTCTTCTACTGTTTTGTGGTGTTTTACCTTGGTGCTGTTTCCTGGTGTTGTGTCTCAGATCTGTGCCCTGGCTTCATGTCTTGGCTCTGTATCCTGTTGCTGTATTTCAGTGTTGCCTCCTGGCACTGTGTCCCATTGCTGAAACTTGGCACCTTGTCCTAAGGCTGAGTCCCAGGGCTGTCATATTGGATCCTGGTGTTGAACCTTGGTGTTGTGTCCTGGTGATGTTCTATCATAGATTTAGAACTAGAAGGGATCTTTGAGGTCACCTTGTCCAACCTCATTTTATAGTCGAAGGCACGGAGGCCCAGAGATTATGAGTGACTTTCCCAGGGTCATACAGGTAGTGAGGGGGTAGAGTAGGTGGCTTAGTGGATACAGCGATGGACCTGGAGTCAGGAAAAGCTGAGTTCAAATCTGGGCTCAGACACTTACTAGCTGTGTGACCCTGGGCAAGTCACTTAACCCTGTTTGCCTCATTTCCTGATCTGCAAAGTGATCTGGAGAAGGAAATGGCAAATCATTCTAGTATCTCTGCCAAGAAAACCCCAAATGGGATCATAGAGAGTTGGACACAACTGAACAACAACCTCTTAACTCCAAATCCAGATCTCTTTTCTTTATATCACGTAGCCTCCCATGTTCTGCTGTTATACCTCAGCAGTATATTCTGGGGCTATGCCTCAGTGCTATGCTCTTGTGTTTGCAGCTCCTGGAACCCTCTTGACACTCATGGGGCCCCTTAACACTATATCAATTTCAAGATATTTTGTAGGTATTGGTCAACATTCACTCAACATCAAAGCTCATAAGCCCCCACCGAAGTGTATATTTTTAGTAAGCCAATCAGAAAGAACACATTAGCTCAAAACAAAAGATATTTCATCAAATAACTTAGCTGATTAAATAACAAGAAAAGATGCCCTCTTCCCCATATACACAGGGATATACTCTCCAGTAGATTATTATAATGCTAGCGGGAGGAGAACATACATGCAGAGAAGTGCACGGTCAAAGCACAGGGGTGAAGGAGTATGCATGCAGGGACCACGTGAGGTCAGGGAATGCACATGAAGGGACACATGCAGTATCACTTGTGAATGGGGAGATATCTGAAAGGGCATATATGCAGGGAATGTGTATAGCATGGGCACAGGTATAGAGGCACACACACACAAGTGACCAAGGCACAAGTATGATTCACACCTCCATTGATAAAGGACTGATGATCTGTTCTATGGGTGGTATCATGTTACTCTCTGCTAGACACTGTGTTTGCTCTTCCTGTTGGATGTTGTGTTATCTCTTGGGCTTCTGCACTTGTCTCTAGTGTTCACTGAGTCGCTGTCTTTTGCCATCTTTTGATTTTTGTCCATTTCAGGCCATTTGTAGCTCTCTGCTACCATCTGAGTGATCTCTGTCTTTCTCTATCTGTCTCTCTCAGTGTTTTCTCCCTCATTAGAAAGTAAGTTCCTCGAATGATTGGTTTTTGCTTTTTTCTTTGTATCTCCAGTCCTTATCACAGTGTAGGAAACGTAATAAGCACTTAATAAATACTAGTTGTTTCATTGATTGCTTGATCTCAGAGTGAAATGGGCTGAGGGTGATGGAGTGGGAGAATGATGTAGAATAGTAAGCCTTTCCTTGGGCAGGAAGTATTAAAGTTCTTTTATTCCGTATAGCCTAAGGTCATAACAGTGGTTATCCAGACAGGCAGTCAGCACAATCCAACAGACAGATTCAATTCAAGAACTTTAGTCTTTTGACTATTTCTCTGCTGCTTTCATCAAAGGTCCCTGGCCCTAGTCTATTAACTGACATATGTTTAGAGAGTTCCTTTTAATTCCTGGCAAATACCAATTATTAGTATCTGTTCAACTCATTTTAGGGGCCCTACCCAACAAAATCAATTTAAAAAAAAGTCAACTCTAGAGGTGTGAAGTCGGCATGGAGATGTTCTCAACAGCCAACCACCATCTTTCTGGTTGAAAAAGAATTGAGCCTGGGGCACAGAACAAAAGTATTAAGTGAAACTTAAAGTATTTTGTTCTAATTCCTGCCTGTACTATGGATACCTGCCAGCAACAATATCTCTGGTCTTTGTTTAGCATGCCAGCCAGTGAATAAACCTCAGTGGTCACCCTACATGTTGTATCATGATGCTTTACTTTGGTACCGTGCCCTGGTGCTATATCCTATCAATATGTTCTGGCTCTGCTGACAGTTCCCTAGAATCACTCTTTAAGAAAACTTGGTATAATGTTTGGGTCATTGTAGAACAGATACAGGACTGCAAATTAGCTCCAAACAACCTAAAAGGTATCAAGATAAGCTTCTGTATCTTACATGATTTTGTATGTCTCACAGGACTGGGTACAGTGCAAATACCTTATAAAGTAGAACACATTTTTAGTGATTAAATGAATAAATATAAGAATATACTAACCAATTAAATTCAGCAGACTTTTACTCAGCACTTATGGTGGTCAGGGCACCTTGCTAAATGTTGTGTATGAAAGGATTAAAAACAAAACATTTCATTTTTAAACTTGTAAAATGGACATATTTTGTTTTTATGTCACCTTTCTTTCCAAATATACTCCCCCCTCCCAACCATGGAACCATCCTTTGTAAGAAAGAATAAAAAAAGAAAGAGATATTAAACAAACATTTTAGCAAGACTAATCAACACATCAACTGAGCCAAATAGTATATACACTATTCCACACATATAACCCTCCACCTCTACAAAGAAGAGATGAGAAATGCATTTTCTCATCTGTTCTTCAGGGCCAAGCTTGGTTGTTGTAATCATATTGCATTACTTCTTTTTTTGTGTTCTCTATTTACATTGTTGTAGGCATTGTGAATTATTATTTTACTGCTTCTGCTTACCTCACCTTGTATCAGTTCATATAAGTCTTCCCATGCATGTCTTAATTTTTCATATTCATCATTTTTTATGGAATAATAACATTTTGCTATGTCCATGTTCCACAGTTTGCAAAACATCTTTTTCAAAGAACTCCCAATGTAATAGGGGAATAAAATGTATGAAGGTTATACAACATAGAGTGAGAGAAAGGCAGAGGAGAGCCTCTAATGTACAGAAATATAAATATCTTCAATGCTCTTGCTTTGGTTTTTCATTAAGCAATCCAGGGCATGTTGACAGTTTTACATGCTAACAGTTAACAGATACATTAACTGATCCAAAAGAATCAGTTGACATGTATACATATGCTCATGTATATATGTGTGCATGTATACTTATATTTATCTATACCTATACATAAATGAGAGATACTGAATCATAGTAGCTAAAGAGCTATCCTCAAATTCAGGAATCAACCAATCAATCAACAAATATTTATTAAGTCCCTCTTATGTACTGTATTAGGGGCAGCTAGGTGGTGCATTGGATAGAGTAAGTTAGGAAGTTAGGAAGACTCATCTTCCTGAGTTCAAATCTGGCCTCAGATACTTTCTAGCTGTGTGAATCTGGGCAAGTCACTTCACCCTATTTGCCTCAGTTTCCTCATCTGTAAAATGAGTTGGAGAAGGAAATGGCAAAACCATTCCAGTGTCTTTGCCAATAAAACCTCAAATGGGATCACAGAGTTGGACACTACTGAAACAACTGAACAATAACAACAATAATAACAAAATGTACTATAGTAGGTGCTGAAGATATGGATACAGTGAATGTAACAATCTCTATTCAGAGGGATACCTGAGCTCAGGTAAGTCACAACTTCTTTGTGTATTGGGCCACTCTCTAAGACTTAATTTCAGTGATGGGGCTGATCTGAATTGGTAGAAGGCATTCTATAGTCTGACTCTTTTTGCGCTGCTTGCTCATAATCCCAGCCAATTACTTGAGTTATAAACGCTTTGTTAAGGTAGGGGTCTGCTTCCAGTGTGGAGAATGTACTGTCCCAAGCTTTGGGGGTTTTGTGCAGCTGTTTTCAGAAATACTTTTAGGGACCTGTAAATTTTCAGTTCTTCCAAGGTGCTATGATTAAGGGTGAGGTGGTCACTCCTTTCCTGGCCTGTGCTCTGGTCTATGAGTGACCACAAGCACTCTTTTCTGTCTTGGAACTGTGAGGAGGATTCTCTCTCCACAGCCACTACAAGTTCCACCATGCCAGCACTCCTTCTTGCCCCAGGACTACCACCCAGAACTGTGACCCAGATCCAAGCACGGGCAAAGCAAGAGAATCCTGCATCAGCAAAGAGATCCCTAGAATCCCCCTCTGATCAGCCACTTGATTCCCCCTCAGTCTGTGGGCTGGAAGCTCCAGATGGCAGCTGCCGCCCCGGGGCTGTGCTCGGGGCCTGAGACCCTGGGCTTCTCTCTCACTGTAGACACAGACTTTTCCTACTGACCTTCTAAGTTGTCTTTGATGTTCATGGGTTGAAGCCTGCTCTAGGTTTGCTGAGGCCTGTGCATCCACATTGAACTGCGTTCCTCTCCCAGCCTGGTGATATACCTTTCTGATCAACCATCTAGGTTGTCTTGGGCTGGAAATTTGTTTCACACCGTGTTCTTGTGGGTTCTGCTGCTTTGGAATTTGTTTAGAGCCATTTTTTTACAGGTATTTGGAGGGGTTTGGGGGAGAGCTCAAGCAAGTCACTGCTTTTACTCCACCATCTTGGCTCCACCCGCCCCCCCCATTCCCTGTATCTCTGAAACCACAGGTCGAGATTCTATTCCTATCTTTGTAGGAATAGAAATATATCTCAAAGGATAAAATA